CGGCCCGGGACATCGGCAGAGCTGCGGCGCGAAATACCGCGGGAAACCCGCGCCGCCGGCCTATGCGGTTCGCTCAGCAGCCGGCAGCTTAACCGGTGCGCTGGGGTTAATGAGCCCCTCCTACCCTCGTCAAAACAAAACGAGGCCTGGAGGGATTAAAAAGGCGTTGAATCTTAGGAGATCAACCCGCTGTAACCTTTTTTTATCAATTTGCGTTAGAAGTACTTCAAACAATTCTTCCATGCTTTTTTTTAAAATTTTTTTTTTTTGTTCCATGATGATGTCATGTGCTATTTACAGCTCATAGTTAGGGAGTATGAATGATAAACCAGAAACTTGAATGAATGATAAACTGGGTAGTAAAAAGAGATTGCCACCAAGTATGTTCCAATGAGAATTCTCATAGTCCTGTCACAGTTGGATTAAACTTCGTTTTTTATCTGTTAACATAAGGCAAAAGTCCTGGTAACTGGCATCAGAATAATGAAGTTGTTTGAGCTTCAGATCACATGCCTGTCTTAGAATGGTATGTCTTGCAGCCTTCTTAACATAGAAGTGACTCCTCTTAGGAGTTTAGGGAAAAAAAGAAAAGAGGCTAGGAAAGGAAACAAACACACACAGGTGCTATATACAGTTAAAGCAGCACATCTAACCCTGGAGTTGGTATCAGCACATGGAGTTGCTAGCAACTGAGCTGACACTAGCCTATGTTTTTCTTCTGCAACCAATTTGCATACTGATAAGGCTATATGAGGATAAAAGCTTTGTCTGGTTAATAATATGAGTGGTTATTTTTGCCTGACATAAATGACTGATGGCAGGTGCTTCTTTAAGTTCATCTCTGCTTCTGTTTGGTGTCAGGATTCATCGGATTTGGATGGCAGCATATGCTGATTTACAGCTCAGCAGAAGGAGAGAAAGCAGCTCTGCCAAGAAACTTTTGAGTCCAGGCAAATATTCAGGACCTGATTCACAGCTAATGAGTCAAGTTCCTGAAACTGTCAGCACTGCACATGAGCAATAAACATATTCCATTCCTCACTATAATGAAGCTTTTGTTATGCTTTGTTATTTATCATTACAAATCAAGCATCTGCTCAGGATATCAAATGAGAGATGCTCATGGGAGAAAAGGAGCTTGAAGTCAGATATCTTAACATTGCAATATATGTATCTCTGCTTTAAAGGTTCAAACAAAGTATTGCTTGTTAGAGTGAAGGTTTCTTCTTTTCTGAAGTAGGCGGGTAATAATTGTCTTTTCATCAGGCTTACAGTAGCGTAATGAGCACCTCTCTACTTTGTTAAGCACTTATTAGCCAAAGTAGTAATACTGAAGTAGTCATTGTATAACGGTTCATACAAGTAGTGTTATTTCTCTTGCAGCTGTCGTTGGCCTGCTGTATCCCTGCATTGACAGCCACCTTGGGGAGCCACACAAATTCAAGAGAGAGTGGGCCAGTGTGATGCGATGCATAGCAGTTTTCGTTGGCATTAACCATGCAAGTGCTGTATCCTTGAACTAGTTTTCATTGTTGCTCAATCTGCTTAGTCTGTTGTCGTGAAACAGTCTCTGCTGTTCACCTCTGGGAGAATTACGAAGGTAGGGATGGTACTACTGGCAGAGACAAACTCCTGAGAGACCTGCAATATGCTGCAATACTACTTAAAAGTAGTTAGGGGGATGCTGGAAGGAATGGACAACGTAGTAAGTTTGGTGTAACTGCAAACATAACAGTATGTGAGTTGTATTATTTTAATCTGTATGTTATCTGCATCTAATAATTGACTAGTGAGTTACACCGAACTGTTCAGTAAGAGTGTTCTTTGTGTTGCATAATGACAGTTTGAGAAGAAAACCTAAATCAGCAGGGATAACTAGGTTACTTGAAACAAACAAAAAAAAGACCCGTAAAAGTTCAGTATATTACAGTGTAGCATGTTCTTTAGCTGCTTAGTGTGACAGAAATTGATGTTCATAGGATCATAGAATCTTGGGCTGGAAGGGACCTTTAAAGGTTATGTAGTCCAGCCCCCCTGCAGTGAGCAGCCTTTGCACTCACACTCCAGTCAAAGTCAACAAGAGCTATGATTGCTCAGCAGGTCTGAAAACCAGATCTTTATCATACTGTATTTAGAGGTACAGAATCATGTTCACTTTCGGTTTGAGTGCTCCCTTGTTCAGTTTCAGCAGCAGGATGTCTGCAGACTTACAAGGATTGTCCTTAACATCTTTTTCCAGAAACTAGATTTTGCAAACAACGTCCAGCTGTCCTTGACTCTAGCAGCCTTATCACTGGGTCTTTGGTGGACGTTTGATCGTTCAAGAAGTGGTCTCGGACTTGGAATTACAATAGCCTTTGTAGCAACCCTGATAACCCAGTTTCTTGTATATAATGGTGTTTATCAGTAAGTTACGATTTTAAAATACCATTTCAACTCTCATTTCTTAACTAAAAGCAGAGGTGCACGAGCACTGAAAGCTAATTATTAACATATTTGTCATGTTCTTATGATAAGACATTTTTTTTGTCTAAGGCAGCTAATTGTCCAGTTGTTCCAAATGATCAGATTGAGAACTGGGGGTGGAGGGTGGGGAGCAGGCAAGTTGGAATGAAATGGTACCAGTTTAGCAAACTGAGCCTTTGCTGGTTTGGTGTATCATTAACTGTCTCTCAGGAGAGAATTTCTAAACTCTGTTGGCTTATTAAATTATCAGACTTAATTTGATCTCCCTTTTTTCTTCTTCTGTATTACTGGTTGGGCCCAGGGAGCAAATTTTTTAGTGTCTTGTTGCCAGTATGTAAGGTGGTAATAATAACTTGTCTCTAACTCTTTTCCTTTGTTTACTAGGTATACATCCCCAGATTTTCTTTACATCCGTTCTTGGCTTCCATGTATATTTTTCTCAGGAGGCGTGACTGTAGGGAACATAGGACGTCAGCTGGCCATGGTAATTACTGTGTAATTAGCATTTCCTTTATCGAGCCAAATATCTTCCATTGTTGTTAGTCCAAGAACAAACTATGCCTTTGAGGGTATGACTCACAAATAGACAGAGATAAATAGGTATCTTGCCAAGAGTTGAAGTGTAAGCATACAACCTGTGTTGCCAGTAGAGCGGGAGTTGTCTTAGTAAGTGTTCGAGTAAGTTGTATTTAACTTTTTCTAGCAACAGCCTAAATAAGACTGGAATCAGTACTCTGCCTCTGTTGAGAATCTTAATCACTCCTGCCCTGTCAGTACTTTGAGTTAACATCAAAGTAGACAGAAAACGGAGAAGCAGAAATGCCCCTATCTAGCATTAAATTCCGCCAGTCTGGAATCAAATATGCTCTTTCTGGTCACTTAGAATCTAGTTCAACTCTCACTCCATATATGGGGTAATATACTATAAATTACTGTCTCATTTGCTAAGTTCTTAAGTGATTATTTCTTTGTAGCATACTTAAGAGTAAAGCTGGCTGTATGCTTGCATATCACCCTCAGGCTTGGTTGTAAAAAGTGTTCTGACACTGATGGATAGTAATAATTAATACTATATTGATTTAACTTCCATTTTCTTTGCTACAGAAGACCTTTATCCTCGATAACATCCTTCAAGTTTTTGACTTCTCTAAGGCTGCTGAGATTTAGGTGCCTTTAATTTTTACTGAAGGAAGGGCGTTGTAGACTTCGGAGTTCCTGAAATGTTAGTTTCTGAACTCTTTAGTAGGAGGGAGAGCTGCTTTTTGGGACCGAACCACAAATGAGTAAAAATATTAGTATAAAGCTAACTCTCTTTCCTGGAACAGGCTTTGTGTCTCTTCATCTAGTGTTGCTAAGCCAGCGGGTGGATGCTAATGTACTTCTGATGTGGATAGTCTGAACTTGATGCTGCAGGTGGACAGGCTTAAGGACAAGCTGGGGAAGGGAGCCGTATTGCGTGACCACCACTGGCTAATGTTAAAGATCAGTTTCTTTAGTATTGATTCTCAGTTACACTGAATTAACAGTAACACCTTGTAGCAAAGGCTGTGGAGGGGGGAAAACCCCAAACTACCCATGGGGCAAATCTACACCTGTTCTTGAGGTTTTTCTTTCATGCTGACTTGATAACAAGTTACAGGTTTCCTGAGACGATGGACACAATCTTAACCTCACAGTCAATTTTTATTTGCTCTGAAGTTCTTTAAAATACAAACTCACTACTCCTTCTTCAAATCTCAGTGGTGCCTACTGTCTGCATGTGTTTTTCCTTAATACTGCATATATAAGGGGAAGAGAGGGTTTAATTTCTCTTTTTAAATTTTCCACTGGCATTAAGTGAAAAAGATAAAATGATACATAGTTCTCTTTAAGGTTTGCTATTGCAAGCAGAGTCTCAGAATAAAATAATAGTCAGTTATATGCTACAGTTCTATATTTCATACTGGCTTGTGCAGTACTTCCAGTTACTATGCCTATGTTAGAAAGAAAAGGAAGAGAGTCCTAAAGAAGAAAGAGCTAAAATAAATTTAGCTATATAGGACTTCCTTTTTTTTTTACTTCTTTTCACCTGATATCTCACCTGAATGTAGTAAAAATCAGACTGGCTCCTGTCTGCAACTTTCCTGTCAATCTTGTCATCTTCCTTACAAAAAAAGAGGGAAGCTGGCAAGGCAAAGCATTCTGTTCTGATTGCCTAGAAGTATCTTCTCCTGTGTTTCATGTTACCATTACTTAACTTGGAAAAGCTTGGAGCAGCCCAAGATTTTCATAGGAGCACTTCTGCACATAGGAGCACTTCTTTAAAGCATTGAGTGATAGAAATTCAAAGAATTCCACTTTTCAAATAGAATGGTAGCATTCAGTCAGCTAGGTCTTTCCCCTGTAGAGATGACCCAAAAGCATCATTCTGTTTTTTCAGCCATTGTGAATGTGGCAAGATGGAATATTGCATTTCTTTAAACTAAACCTGAAGAAAACAGTTACTTATGTAGCAATATTCTCCTGCCCTCCCGGAGTTGTTTGGGTCCCTGTGACAGTTTCACATGAAACAGCAGATATTTTCTGGGCAGGTCCAGAGTAGAAGGTGGCACCTCTGGAAGTTATGGCAGTGCAGTCAGGTTGCCTTGCTTCTTCTTTAGCTCCTGTCTAGCTTTTGGAGTGAGAAAAAAAAATTTAGAAGATATATAACGAAGTGTCCCTGAGACATCCCCTCCCATCCTGAGAAATGTTAGCAGGGAAATGCTTTTGCTGCTTTCCAATAACTGGATTTCGAGTGAATTTCCATGTAGTACCCAAATGCAGTGTAATCTTTAAGCAAGGCTGTTGTTAGCAGAGGGTTTGGGGGTTTGTTCTATTGGGTTTTTTGGCTATCAGCTTGAGGATGGAATCCAACATTTTCTTTATTAGTTTGATTTCAAAAGAAAATGTGAAGGTGTTGCTGCCGCCATCAGCTTTCACTGCTCATTGTGATACCTAAAGTTGCTCAGTCAGTGCTCATCAGCTGAGTTAAATGGATGGCAACACTTTGGTTTATGTTGTAACCGTCATTCTCAACATCTGGCAAACAAAGATAGTGTTCAGAACTTGGACCTCACAGTTGTCTATTGTTTGCTGCTGCTGAAGGCTGTAGAACTGTGAACGCATTCAATACTTGTGAATACATTTGCATTTTGACTCTACAATGAGAAGAACATATTGCAAGCTTTGTTTTTAAAAAAAGTTGCTTACATTTCTGACACTGACATACTGTAGGGTTTCATACTAGAACAGGGACTTGGGAGGAAATGAGTAAGTCTATCTGACACCAGGCTTGGATTGGAAAATAAAGTAACTTATGTGCGAAGTCAGTTTGAAAGTGGGCTGTTAAAAAACTGAATTAATGCCCATTAAGTGAAGCACTGGGTACCTTCTGCTAAGAAGTAAACTGAGATAGGTCAGAAAGCTAAAAAAGTCTTACAAAAAGCAGCGCAATTGGTAGATGGATTTATCAGGTGCACTAATTGACACAGCACGGGCCATAGTGATTTTTTTCTTTTGTCCACCGTTAAGGAGCACATCCTTGTTGAGCTTATTTGCTAGGTCATTGTCAGTCAAACTGAAGTTAGTCAACTCTTTAATCATTGAGAATAGTCCATAATGTAGTCATTTATGAGATGCCGTTAAAATGTAACACCTGTTTGATGTTTTTTATCCATAGGGTATTCCAGAAAAACCACACAATGACTAAATCTTTGAAGAAAACAGCATGGTGCCAGTGGGAAAGCAACATTACGAAGATGTGTTCCTGTTTTGAGTTGAAGATTATTTAGAAAAAATAATCTCTTTATGGGCTCACTGCACAAATGACTTGTGGAAAAAACAAAATTAATCCATTCTTAGAATAGCCAAGTGAAATTAACTGCTTATCTTGAAATCTTACCCTGATTTACCACATAAGCATTTGCGTATGGCTGTTCTGTGGAAGAGTTTAACACCAAGTTGCGTACAACTGTTCAGGCTGAGTGGCAGTTTTCAAAGTATTAGATTCCAGTGTAAGTTACTGAAGTAGCTGCCATATTTTAAAGCCTTGAAACTGAAATTTAATTACAAGCTCTTGTATCAGTGCCCAAAGGAAGTAGGTTGATGGTGCTTAACAGTGATGAAGTATGGTTTAATAGGAATAGTATTTATCCAAATCTGTAAAAAATAGGGTTATTTAAAAATAAGAGTGATCGAAACAGGTTAAAGGCATTGCATTCATGCTTTTAGAAGTCTTATGAAGGAATCATGCCCTTACTTGTAATGCTGCATTAAGTTTTTGTCTTTGACAGTGTAGAGGATTGAAGGGATGAAAGGTTGGAAGTTACTTAGTTTGGAATTTCTAAATTACTTCAGTACGATAGGTGAACACTGGAGACAATCTTGTTCAAATGTGAACTTTATCAAGAATTCTGACTGGAAATTTCATTAATTCTAGAGCTTGCCGTTAGATTTGCAAGAATCAAGTTCTGACCCCAATACAATAAGAAATTTAAGCGTGTGTGAGTATTCCTGCTTCATAGGAGACATATGATTCAATATCTCACTGAAGGAGGTGTTAGGTATCTTAAGCATCTGATGTCACTGAAAAAATGTGCATTGCTTGGCCACTGAATATGTGCCCCCAACTCCTTAGATCTGCAGTTTCCTCCGAGAGGTGTCCTTAATCTTACTTCTGTTTGAGTCAGGGTTTTGACTGAAATGGTTGGAAGCAGAAGCAGGCCTAAAATGTGATTTAAACTGTATGTGAAGAATAGCAAACAGCTTGTTTTCTCAGTTCAGTTTCTGAAAGAGATCACTGCTTGTTTTTTCACAACCCTATAGAACTTGCAATCTGTGATTGCCTTCTAAAGAAAAGAAAAAAAAAGTGCTTATGTCACTACATTAAACATTTGGTGTTTCTTAATACTTAGTTCTGGTGAGCACAACATATTCATTTGATAGCTTAGACCACAAGAGACCTAAATAGCAAGTATTAGGTCTTAAAGTTGAAGTGCAATGTACAGTAAATCTGAGCCTCATGTTCTCTTCAATATCGATCATTTCTGATGAGAGATTAAAGAGAAAAGGGTTCTGAGTTCATTTCAATGCTGCATGGAGTCAAATGGAGCAATAATTTATTTAACTAGTAAAGCTAGTTTTGCTGTATCTTTCATTGAACCCAAATTTTTAGAAATACTCCAATTTTGTGGTTATGGTGTACTTGTAAACTTTTATGGATCTACCTTTTTGTATTATGCAATTTATTTTTCGTGTGTGTGTTCATTTCCAATCTTACATGGCTTCAGATACAGTTAGAGGTATCAGTTAAAGATTGACCCATCAAAAAAATGTTGAGGCCAGATAGCGATGTTCTCGCTGTTTTCACTCTTGTAAAGGAATGCTATAACTGCTGCTTGTGGGGTTCTTTGTAGCAGGAAAAGATTTGCACACAGTCTCTACTACAGAGCAGCCCCCAATTCTAATCTTGCTTTGGTGTAAATCAAGAATAATTTCATTGGTAGAAGATCCTTCCTCAAATGTTTAAAATGTAAATACTCACATTTTATAGGTCTACGTGAAAAAACTAGGTCCTCAGATCAGGACTGGATCAACTCATCTGTTCTTAGAAGTATGTTACCTGCTGGGGAGACAGTTTTGTAACCACCTTGAAACCAATTTCAAAATGTTATTGGAACCAGGTGTAAGTAAAGATGAAAGTGATCTCTACAGATATTTGATTGACAGAGAAGTATTTAAGATTTATTTGTAAAAACTGAAACTAAATCTGTATGTGTTAGAAGTAATGCAGCCAAAAATGTAAGTCAAAAGTTCATTTTTTGCCAATACTTCTGAGTATCTTAACCAAAGTGATTTTAAGTTTGGAAGAGGTGGGGAGGGGAGTGAAGAAAATTTGCACTATTCTGAATTTGAACACTTAAATTCTCATTCTTACTGATAAGTTTTCAGCAGAGTGTTTGGTTTTACACTTTTTTTACTATTAAAGTTTTAAGATCAAGTCATGTTTGCCTTGGATTCTCTGTATCCATATTATGCAGGAATCTTTCTTGAAAAGGACAGTTGTTATGGTTGCATAACAAATATTCAGTCATGTGTAGTCAGTGGTTTAAAAGAAAAAAAAATCCTAAACTGAATTTGGAGAAATTAGCTTTTAGAGGGGCTTCTAGTCTGGATTATACAGTTGAAGAAAAACAGTCTTGCTGTTATACCAAGAGACCCGCATGAATGTATTGTACGGTTACAGGACTCACGGTACAGAACCTCACTACATTGTCTTCTAAGATGCTGACATTGACAACGTGAAACAAAATATGGAGAGGGCAGGTTGGGCATGGAAATCCCTGTGGTGGCTTGTTTATGATAGTCATAGGTCATCAAGATCAGTAAAGTCAGAAGCAGAGTGCGAACAACGAGAAGGAGTAAACATGGCTAAAAAGTCTAAACATTTGTAAAACTGTTGTGTCACCTGGTAGAGGGAAGATGGCATCTGCTCAGATTTTGTCAAAAGGAATTATAAATATATAAAGTGGTGCAATACAGCCTGGTCTTGGAGAGCTAGGGCATGATGGTCTCCTTTTGAAACAGAGAAGTGTGTACAAAGATTTTAAAGAGAGAAAAAAAATCTTCCTAGCAAGCTTGATGATTTGACCTGTGCATAGTTCCTGCAAATTCATTTAGCAAGTTATTCAGTCTTTGGCTTTAAGCACAGGGATTTGCAGGTGCTAAATTAGCCACAGGAGGGCCCATAGTCTGTTCTGTGGATGCAACAGGAACATATTGAGATGAATAATGAAATTAAGTCTCAGTTGCCTTACTGCACGTCAGAGTAGCTCCAAAATTCATGTGAGCAAAGCATTACATGCTGGACTAATTGAACAAAGCATACTTCTGTATAAGAGGTCATTGAGGGCTTGATCTGGGAAACCTGTGAGGAGTGTGGGTGGTAACAAGTTCTTCCAGTTAAAAGGTCAAGAAAGGTACCTATAGGTGATGGAGATTTCTCCAGGCAATGAAATACCACGAGTTGCCCCAAACATCATTTGGAGTCTTCCCCCTGCGTTTAAATCTTCCTGTTTTGCAATGGTCGTGTTCTGTCTTCCTGGGCTGGGAATGGAGACAGATGACTACATATGCAATAAAACCAGAGTCCTCATGCCTGTGTGTGTGATAATAAAGTCTGTAGGTTGTGGTGGTGTTTCTGGCCTGCTCTGGTTAACTTTCAAAGACAGAATTCAAAATACTTAGTATAATTTCTGTAAATAATGCATTACTGCCCAAAAATTCACAAAAGGTCAAAGATACACTGAGTGGGTTTTACTTGATAAAGTTTTACTCCAGCTGCGAATCATGTTTTCTCTATTACAGCAAGTTGTGTCTGTGTATTAGGTAGTTTGAGTGCTATTACATTGTTACATTAAAAATCAAAGAAGTGCTGCAGAGATTACACTTAACTTGCTGTGTTTCCTAGGAATTAAAATACCAGTTACAAATCAGCATTTTTGCACAGAAATAAAACAGCTACATCAATTTCCCCCAACTCAGTAGATGGTTAGTGGCTCCAGCAGAGCCCTGGGGCACCCACATGAGTATCTCTGTGGCCAGCCTGCTGTGGCTTGGGTCTGGGAAGGGGAGGCCAACTCCTGTAGCCACCCCAGGGATGCTCCAAGCTTCCTCTTCACAAAAGCAATAGATGTCAAATACTGTTTGTGCAGATGTTGACTATTTGTTTTCTAACTGATCAAAAGCCGCTGAGTAGCTCAAACTGCAAGAGCTGGAATCATCACAGCTGCCTCACACTTTGCTGTGTGGATGGAGGAGAGAAAAGGGGTTGTTTTCACCCTTTCTCTTGAGCTTTTCACCAGATAGAAGAATCTGGCCACAGATTGCATAGGCCGACTCCTGAAGACAGGGTTGAGTCTGGGTTAGCACTATCACAGCAGCTGACATTGCGATATAAGCAAAAGCTGACCAACTTCACAGCATTCACATTTATTCACCCTGAAAATTCTTAGCCCAGTTCAGAAAGTCTTGAAGGCTGTATTCTAGTAGTATCAAGCTTAACCAGCTTCATTTTAAAATAAATAGACATATAAAAGTCATGCTGAATGCTGTGAATGTCTCTTACCTGCATATGAGTGCACAGGAAGCAGGTGCCCAACAATTAAAATAACTTGGGTTCATGAGAGAGTCAAGGTCCCATCCAATAATGGCCTGTTGCAGAAAGGCTCACTGAGATGTTCCTGCAGAAATATAAGTTGTTTGTGTATGACTGTGGGGTTCTTCAACACAGAAGGTCTGGTGGCTTTTCTCACTGCGTTTTCAATTGCAGCGTACCAGAGAGACTTAAGAAAGCTCCAGAAGAGGTGGCTTGGAACAACCACAGCTTGGAGAGGACTTTATCCTGCAACGTAGAAAGGCCCACCATGACCTGCATGACCAGCAGCACCTATAGCCTTTCTTACCTGTCACCAAAGAATTGCTGGGACAGGCAGGACTGAACAAGGGGTTGTGGTCCCTTTTTAGGGAGGAAGTTTTCTAAATGTGAGGCTTGGACTCAAAGGAGATGTCATGTTACAGATGTCATTTAAGAGTAGGAGATATTGAGATCACTGAGGTTTGGATTTTCCTGGACATGTTAGGGTCTTCCTCAGTTCATCACTAGAAATCCATTGGTTTGGCCCAGGCTGTGGAGTTTTGTGGGTTCACGTTGCTTCTTGTCACCATGGGCTGACATGTACATGAGGGCAACTACCCAAACATGGTTCATATATTCCAGTGACAACAGAAGGATTCCATCAGAGGTGGTTGTTGGAGATCTGCCACTGCAGAAAGAAACAAGACTGGGCCCTTTTTCTTTTTTTTTTTTTTGCATGAAGACAAGTCCTCCAAGCACAACTCAAACACTTGTTGCCATCTTGAAACATGTTGGTTTGATTCTGACCTTTGAAAAATGGTCCAAGCTGTCTAACAATACAATGTTTCATAAATTTAAAAACCTAAACCATGCTTTTTTTCCTAAAAATGGGATAAGCAATTTCGATTTCCAAACTTTTTTTCATGGTTGTTTTTCATGTTACAGGAATTCATAAGAATGTGTTGGGTTAGGAATTATCTTTTGTTTTGAGGAATTGGCATTTTTTGTCTTAAAAAAAATTGCAAAAAATTCCCAATCACTTTTACTCAGTATCTCTTTGTTTACTCACCACTCTCATCAATCCTTTATTTCCTGTCCCAGGGTAATCATTTTCTTCTTTATTCACACCCCTTCTTGGTTAAACAGCCTCGTCTAAGCTCAACAATGACTTTATCACCCTTCAGACCTCATCTGAAGAATGAAATTTGCTGATGCTGGGCTACTGAAAGAGGTGAAGCAAACTGGTAGGAAGGAGGTTCAACACATCCCAGCCAGCATCACATGAGCCCACTCCAAATTTTGCCCTGCAAGGAGCAGTTAGCATAGTCCAGAAATCTCTGTGAAGCTATGGGAGATGCAGAGTTTGAGATTAGGAAGAATCACCAGGAATACATGCCCTGCTGATT